TCAATTCATTTAGAACGAAATTGAAGCTTAAAAAATTAGATTATCACGAAGATGTGAAAAAGTTGTTAATAAATGAAATAGAGTGAAACTGTAAACATTTTTGTATTGGAGTTGTATGGGGGGTGGGTGTTACAGTGGGCGGATTTTCTTCATATTTGCAAAACAGCATTTAATAGATGAAAATAAACATTCTAGTTACAAATTTACAGAAGATATGGCATTTTTGAAATATCATTTGTATGGGAGGTGGGCGTAAAAATGGGCGGATTAAGTTCATATTTTCAGGAGCACATTCTACAATTATAATATTAATGTGTTATGAAAATTGAGTTGATATATTTAAAATCATGGAAGTTATGCCACATTTTCTATTTAAGTTGTATGGGAGGTGGGCGTAAAAGTGGGCGTATTTTTGTAAAAAAAAAATTAAAATTCTTAAAAAATTTAAAATAAATTTGTGCAAAATTTCATGAAGCTCCGCAACCTCCTTGATTTATAGCCATTAAATACACTACACGGCCACTGTGTGTGACGTACACAAATACCTATCTTAACATTTCGACATACAAATCAACATAAATAAAAAGTGGCGGTGACAAATTAAAAAAACAATACAAAAAAGTGGTGGTTAAAAACCAAACTAAACTAAGAAAATAAAATCTATATACATACATATCAAGAACGATAGAATACAAGATTGCGCATTCCCGCAGAATGACATTTGTGGCAACGGGTAAACAAAGAATATGGCGAACACCAATGAGTTGACAGTTGTGAATTTGCAGTGAGAAAACGTGTTTTCTTCTCGATTCACCAATTTCTCAAGCCATCTTTGAATATAGCAAATTAAGCACTACGTTAACAAAAAATATACAACCACTCTTGAAATGTGTTCAAAAGAATAGGTCTTATTAATTAACTATTTAGAATTTTTGTGTTTGTATTGCAGGTGCCGAAAAAGTGATAATATCTTGTCGCAGCGCATGTTTTCCTGCAGAAAGTGGTCGATGCTTGCTTACCTCCGATTTTAATTTGTAATTTGTGGTATTTCAACGTTTTCAACTCAACATGTCGTGTTTAAAAGTGGTCCGTAAAGTGCTTCATGCATATTACGCTGGTGTCTAAATTGTATGGCTTCTCCTGCCGGCAGAACTCTACCTACTTTCTGGCCAAGGCGTCGTCGCGGGGAAACAAAAAAAAACTGCATTTGGGGGCTTTACCCCTACGGCTGCTGCAATTCAACACACGACACGACATTTTTTTAAAGTTTTTACTACAAATAAAACGTTTTTTATTCAGAACGCACGAATTACTTCGATTTTTCACTTGAAAGTACACAATACGTTTGCACTTGTTTCTAAACAAAAAGTTTGTTTACGTATTGCCATAAATGTCAAAGTCGGCAAAACCAAAGTAGCGGTTTCGGGAATGCGACACCTTCAGTTCATTTCACCATGCATACATATGTAAGTGCAAGAGCACAACAACAAAACGTATGTACATACCTGTGCTAAGCGGTGCTTGCTAGAAAATACAGTGTAGTGCATACAAACACGGACACAGTGGTTACTACTATTTGCAGTTGTGAACAGTTTAAACACCGCAAGTGCCTACAGTTCTTAAATCAGAAGAACTAAAATAAAATATACAGTTTTAGACATTAACAATTTATTTAATAAACACATATATACTTACGTTGTGTATATAAGAAGTCACCGCTACTCCTTTTCGTCGTCATCGTCGGTGAATTTTTTGCTGCCGTCACCGCTGCCTCATATATTGCTTCCTGCCAACGCTGCTGAGCCACTGTAGTTGCTGTTACTACCGCTGCCGCCTGGGATGAGCTGCAATTGCCTGATTTGCCAGAGGGAAGTGAAAGCAGGCAAAAAGCCTACGCATTCACATAAGGTAACGAGTGCGAACAATTGAAAGCTGTGTCTTAAACGAAATAAAATTTTATACAAATAAAATTCAAATAAATCAAAATTAAATTATTAATTATTTATCGAACTTTCAATTATTGGCACCTCCTTGGTCACTACATACGTACATAAGTAAACATACATATTTACCTACATATGTGCAACTATACGTATGTACATACATTAGGGATGTCAATCCCGGGATCCCGGTATTTTTTAAGTCCCGAATATCCCGGGATTAGTCGATTTAAATCCCGGGATTGCTGGAAACAATTTTTTTGTTAGCCAATTAAATTTTTATCACAAATATCCCCTCTCAAGGGCAAAACAAGAATTTTTTGCAACCCTTAATGCTATAATTTCTTTAAGATCGCATTTTCATCAAAAGAAGGAATAATTTTGCTCGCTCAAAATGGAAAAGGTGATGCACTTATATATTTATTATTTACTTAAATGTGTTAACTTTTTTATTATTACTTAAATATACTGATAATATCTTAAATTGATCTCCAACAGTGATTTAAAAAGTTTTATATAGTTACATAGGCAGTTACTGCTGTACCAAATACAGTCACTTCCAAAAATATTTTGCATCGATTTTTTTGCAATATTCAAAATATTTTTCATGGTATTTTTTGTTAATTAAAAAAAATATATAGCTCATTTTACAACAAAAATCATGTAAATCAAAATTTCACACTTTAGAGAAAGTTGGTTTAAGTTCACCAAATTATCATAAAAATATCAAACTTTTTAATCATAGTTTAAAAAAAAAATCTATTATGCAGTTTTATAGCCCATTCAATTTAATACAATAAAGTGCAATTTTAAAGTTGCTAAAAACTCCCTTGATTTTTGAATTTTTTTTACTGACGATGTTGGGCATTTTCCTCCTTATAACGAATTTTTTCGTGGCAAAAAAATATATATAAAATGTCAACGGGATGTTTTAGCAACTTCAAAATGGCACATACGTATATATTTTTTTAAATTAACAAAAAAAATACCATGAAAAATATTCTGAATATTGCAAAAAAAATCTATGCAAAATATTTCTCGGAGTGACCGTATATGCATTTTTACTTGTAGTACAAAAACTATGTTATAAATTAATGAGGATATGTACTTACATACATATATGTTTGTCAAATTTTATGTTTGGTTTTTGTTGATTGAAAATACTGATTTATCGCCTTAATAAATATGTAAATGAATTACAATAAATTGTACTTTTTTTTGTCATATCAATCTGATTTAAAATACTATAATAGGATGATCACAGATGTGTTGCACTTTTACCTGAATTTCGGGACAATCCCGGGATCCCGGGATTGTATTTTCAGATCCCGAAAATCCCGGGATCGACAAAACCCCGAAAATTGACATCCCTAACATACATACATGCGCATGTACATACAAGTACATACATACGTACTGTAAAAGTGAAACAAGGGTACAGTGGGATCTTGCGGATAAAGGGTGTGACAATAGTTGGCACAAAATCGTAATTCCGAACTGCTATCGCAAATTTAAATTTCTTGTTCGATATTTAAAGTAAATAAACAAGATACAATAAAGTCAAGTACACAACAGTTTGTATTTTCCTTAAAAATACTAAATAAGTTTAAACAAACCAAAAATGTGCGATTTTTCGTCTCTGTGGTACAATTTTCGTCAAATTCTTGCATTGTGCGACTGCGCTTGTTCATTTTCGCTGCATTTTCCAACAGTGATTTTCATATTTCTGGTCGAGATTTGTTCAGCCATCTTTCGTCATTGTTTTTCAAGCCATAACTCCTAAATCTCTAATTGTTCTCGTAGGAATTTAGAATAACCACCTTTCGTCAACTTATTAATTCTTTTAATAAAAATGAGCAAAACTGAAAATCCACAAGGCCAGGTTGAGGACACCAAGGCTTTAAAACGACAAAGGTCGATTTTAAAGAGGAGCATACAGCGAGTAAAATCGGGCATTCTGGATAAATCAATTTCGACTAATCCAGAAGAATTAGAGTGTCGGCTTGACATATTAAACGCATACAGCGAAAAGCTAATGAAATGTCAAGCCAAAATTGAGGAAATCGATGAAGAAGACATGACCCGTGGGGAGTTAGAGGACATAATTGTCGAAACGAAAGCCATTATTAAATCAATTTTGGCGAAAAACAAAACTTCAGTTGCCGAAACTTCCTCCGTTGCGCCTCACAGCTCAAGACTCCCTAAAATGAATTTGCCAAAATTTAAAGGACAGTATTCGGAGTTCAAAAACTTCATGAGCTTGTTCGAGCCTTGTACACAACGATGCTACAATCCCAGATATTGAGAAATTTAACCACTTGGTTAACTGTCTGTCTGGTGAGGCTTTGGGAACGGTAAAGGCCTCCCAAATGTCGGACGAAAATTATTCGAAGGCTTTGGCTAGTCTCAAAAAAGTTTAAGATAACAAATGCTTAATATTTTTCGACACAATTTATAAACTTTTTGAGCTGCCAAATATCTCAAAGCCCTCTGCGCTTTCATTGCGCACGATGATTGATACAGTGTCGGCTGTTTATGACTCACTGCTGTCGTTGGGTGACGAGAAAAATATCACAAACGCAATCATAATCCATCTGGTAATGTCGAAAGTTGACACCATTACTCGGTCTAAATGGGAAGAACAGCTGGATTTTGACAAGTTGCCGTTATGGCGAGACTGCGATGCTGCGTTAAACAAGCGCTATCAGCATTTATCCGCCGATGAAGCCTCAAATTCGAGACAGAAGTCATCCCTCAGCGCTGGTACGCAAAAACCCAACCAGCATACGGAAAAGGCGAAGTCTGCCTTAATGACTTCGAATTCAAAACAGCCGGTGTGTCCACACTGTAAGTCCAAGGATCATAACATATCTGCGTGTCCTACTTTCAAAACTCTCTCTGCATAGCAGCGATTTGAGTTTGCGAAATCAGTCCCCTTATGCATAAACTGTTTACGAAAGGGGCACACGGTTTCAAAGTGCAGTGCAGATCGGTGTCGGATTTGTAATCGTTCGCATCACACCTTGCTGCACCAGTATCTTTCGAAACTGCACTTCAACCTTCGACCTCGCATGCCATGCACACAACGAGTGCGCCAGATCGTGTTATGTTGGCCACAGCTGCAGTTAACGTAAAAAGTAGCTCCGGAGAATACCTGCCTGCACGAGCCTTGTTGGATTCTGGATCTCAGGTGAACTTCATGACCGAAGATTTGGCGCAGAAATTGCGGACTCGTCATCAAGGAGTAACTCTAAACGTCATCGGCATCGGCAATGCGAATCAGAAAGTAAGGACGAAATTAAATGCGTTTGTGAAATCGCGGGTTAATAATTATGAGTTCTCGGTAGAATTCTGGATTATGCGGTCCATTTCAGCTAACAATCCAGACCGAAACGTTAATATTACTGGCTGGAAAATACCAAAAAATATTAATTTGGCGGATCCAGAATTCCATAAATCGCAAAAAATTGATTTGTTGTTGGGTGCCGAAACATTCTTCGAGCTTCTAGCTATAGGCCAGATTAGAAAAGGCCCAAACCACCCAACTCTACAGAAAACTCTTTTGGGCTGGGTTGTGTCTGGCAAATACACCACCAACCAGTGTCGTCCTCCCCAATTTACTAGCACATTATGCCAAACTGAAGATGAATTATCGACAATAGATTCGGTGGTCCAAAGATTCTGGGCTTTAGAAGAATTACCTTCAGAAGCAAATTCCAGAACACTTACACCTGAGCAAACAGAATGTGAAACATTTTTCGTAAGAACTACTCAAGTTCTGCCGTCAGGAAGGCTTCAAGTAAGATTGCCATTCAAAACTGACCGTAAGTTACTCGGTCATTCCTATGAAACCGCATCTCGGCGGTTTCAGGCCCTGGAGAGAAGAACCTTGAAAGATCCAGAACTTCGCAAAATGTATCTGGACTTCATGAATGAATATATAGAATTGGGTCATATGAGCCCAACAAATAATAAGATCCCGAGTGAGCCACACTACTTCATTCCGCATCAATGCGTCCTTCGGCCTGAAAGTACGACAACCAAATTACGAGTTGTGTTCGACGCGTCAAGTCGTACTTCGTCTCAAATTGCGTTGAATGAAATCTTGATGGTTGGGCCGACTATTCAAGAAGAGCTGTACTCGACACTTCTTCGTTTTCGTTTGCATAAATTTGCACTTACGGCGGA